CAGGCCCTTGCCTCTGTGTACAGGGCAAAAATAACAACGCTTATGACCGTTAATAATCATAAAAATGCTAATGTTAATGACGCCGTCCGTGAGCGAGAAGAGAGCTTGGTCGCCGTATTAATGGAGAACAGGCCCGTCGGCTGGCGGGTCGGCCGACACCGGGAACAATAATAAGAATAATGAAAACAACGACGACAATAATGAGAACGATAATAGGGAAGAAAACACGGTGAAATGAACAGTATTGCAGTTTGTAGCCGCATCGCGGCCGGCGCAACCGTTGTAAAATTGTTTAACGGAATCAGTCTCTGGTCTCCCACGTAACCCCAATTCGGGAATGAAAATTGCTCGATATGTATCTCGATCGGGGACCCGGCAAATTCATTCACTGGATGAAGAGTTTTCGAATAACGAATGAAAAGGGAGAAAAGAGTACTTCGTCAGTTTTCAATTGATTGATCGTGGATATACCAATTTTTCTAATAAAATAATACTTCTTCCCGAACGAGTGGATACTCGGGGAACAATTATATTAACTTAGATACTACTGTTTTTCACTGTGCATTATTCGAATACAATTCTGTCCAACTTAAACAATGGAAAGATCGATTTACTTGTATCGCGGTTCCATGAAAAAAGAAACAAGCGACAACGATTTTGATCGAATAAAGACACCGTCCGCAAGGAGAACCAAAAACGATACTCTCACCGCCAGTTCTGTTTCTTATTTTCGAGTCGCAATTTTATTTCATCGAAATCCTCGATTCTCCTCAAAAAAAAAAGAGTATATTCCTGGATGAAAAGCATGTGGACTATTTTCCGAAATCACGGTTATCCCCCCTCTCCGTCGGAAATCCCTTCGGTCGGATATCATTCCGTTGCTCAGCGGGAATAAATCCTATTCAGGCGGCGGAAGTGGATCGTTTCCGCGAACGTCGTTCGCCCCCTTCTGCTCGTAAAAGCGGACGCTTCCGAGCTGAACCGTGGCGCGCGCCCGTATTTTGTGTACATTCTGTCGCACGATTAAAGGAATTCCTTACGAAAACATTTTCCTCCTCGATGCAAACTCGGCCCCCCCCCTCCATCGATAGCAAAAAAAGATAGAAAAGTGTCGAGAGTACGAAAGAAACGGGGAGCGCAGCAACTGCTCCGCAGGCGTAGCAGTTCGGCCGTGTCTACGATCGCGGGATAACATTCCGTTACGAGTACGCTTGGGGAGGTGGGGTAATAAAAGAAAGGGGATGGAAGTAATACGCCGCCTGTGGAGCCGAACTGCGAAAGGTAGTGTACGGAACGCGTACTCTTGAGCGAGATACGTAATTTTATCGATTCCCCCCCCCCCC